CAAGAGAGAACAAAAAACAGACTGAAGCGTCAGAGCCCCAACCACCTTGCTAGAGAACTGTACAGACAGCACCAAGATCTGCTTGAAAGAGATGTTGCACTGTGCGAAAAACTTAGGCCAGAACCATGGACAAGCAAGCCAGAGAAAGCAAATGTAGTCCTAAAGGTACCAGGAATCACTTCAAAAGATGCCCAGACGGAGACACAACAGAGAACCCTGGCTCTTGCTATGCTTGATGAGAAGTATCCAAACACCACTTGGACTCAGGTTTTCACCGACGGCTCTGCTACAGATGCAGTCAGAAAGGGGGGTTGTGGAATTTACATTAAACCCCCTAGCAGTAGAGCAGAGGCTCTCTCTCTACCAGCAGGTGACATCTGCACTAACTTCAGAGCTGAGGCAACTGCTCTTCTCTCTGCAGTCCAACATTTCATCACTCAAGAACACAGAGGGCACCAAATTGTTATACTTAGCGACTCATTGTCTGTTCTCCAAGCACTATCCAGCAAAAAACAAGACAAAATAATTGCTGATCTAAGGACCAACATTGGCTTACTCTCCAAGGAAGCAGAACTGGTCTTGCAGTGGATACCAGCCCACTGTGGTATTCAAGGAAATGAGAGAGCAGATGAGTTGGCAAAAGCTGGGAGTAATCTTCCACAACCTCATCCACCACACAGCTACAAGGAAACCAAAACAGCGCTAAAGCAGTCTTTCAAGCTGGAGTGGAGAAGGCAGAATGGAGATTACAGACCAGAGAGTGACAGCATAAACAAACTCAACAGGAAAGAACAAACATCAATTCTTAGACTTCGGACTGGACACTGTGGTCTTCGAGCACACTTGTACAGGATAGGCATAAAAGAATCTGCTGCCTGTGATTGTGGAGCAGAAAGACAAACCCCTGAACACATACTGCAGTACTGCCTTTACCTCTCCCAACAAAGACTGTGGATCTGGCCCAAAGGAGCCACATTGCAAGAGAAGCTATGGGGGACCGGTGGCGACCTTAAACGCACAATCCTATTTGTGACCCAGACGGGACTCAATGTTTAGCATGACTGATATCGAACGCAGAAGAAGAAGAAGAAGAAGGTACCTTGAATATCCCCCCCCCCCTTTTCCACACCGCCGCCCAGTAAAAGTTTGTAAGGAGGCTAAATGCACCACAAGCATGTGTCTAATATGCCTCTTTGGCTATTTTTCCAGGAAATGCCGGTGTGTTGGGAAACTAGCAAGTAGATATACTGGCTGGTTCTTCACCTCTTGGTAGTGAATTAGTGTATGATAAGATAAATGTTGTGAGGGTCCTTTGGGAGCGAATGAACAGTGGAGGCACAGATATATCATTACGGTCTGAGGAGAATGGCACTTCGATGAGTTACCAGGGGAACTGGTCGGCGCTTAACACTCAAGGGAAAGGCGAGACAGATATACATACAGTCAGACATTTTACTGGTGCCATCGGAACTGGAACTCTTCATTTGCTGCTGAAGATGAAAACTTTGCGCTTATGGGAGTGTCCCGAGTGCTGTGATGTCGATTCCTAATTCAACATTTAATGTGGTATAATGTGCGTAACAATCACATGAGATTAGGTCACATATCTTTGAAGACATATGAGTTTTTTGATGTTGGTGTGATAGGCAATGACAGAGCTAACGCCCTGGCTGGCAGTGCGAGTATCAGCAGTGGGTTATCTATGGACAGAAGAGACATCATCTATGTCAACCGAGAGACTAAACGCTATGAGACTTTCAGTTTCGTGGAAAATGACTCTTCCCTGAATAGACTGCAGGCTCTGGGTGTACCAGTTGGAGCTGCGAGACAGGAAAACCATGCATGAGCCAGCCGTTGTTACACCAACCAGAACAGAATGGTAGTTGTTAGCCTAAAAACACTTGGAGACATACTTAGCAACAGATTGGAGCACTTATTGTCATGTCCCATGTGAGACGAAGATGATATTTAAATGAACAATGAACAATGCCTTACTCATTTTTTCCGTATGTGTGGATGATCGTAAGTCACACGGGTTGTAAGTCGAGGAGAAGGTGTATCGTTTTGTGTAAGGAGATTTCGTTTCTGCAAAGTGCTATGCCCCCCCCCCCCCCCCAACCGCTTTTTTTCAAGTTATACTCACTAGTAAGCACTAGCATTGGGTATGTATGATAATATCTCTGGTGGAGCGCACCATGAAAGCATAGCATAAAACTGCTAGATTGAGCTGCATGAGAGGTTGAGCTTTACCGCACCAGTGATAACTCAGATGTATGTTATTACCCGTCGGCTCTGTGACTAAGTCGATGCGAACGCTTCGTAATGCCTGGATGCCGGGTTCGATCCCAACTGCGGACCATTGGCCTTGCGTTGGTTTCGACAGTGGTATCAAGAAAGCCGACCGTCCAGAAGGCAATGGCAAACTACTGGACGTAAATTTTGCCTAGAAAAACCACACAACAGCCAGGGGCTGTAGGGTTGGTTCTGCGATGTCCTGTAAAATGTTATTACCCATTGAAAGGCGATTATCGGGAATATCTCTGACAGGTCAAACATTGAACACAGACACATGGGGCACATCGCTCTATCATTTCAAGATACTTATTGGGATCTAACCTGGGAAAGATGCTTAACGGGCAAGAGAGAAAATATTACGTCATAGTTTGTGAGCATGACAAACGGAAGCTGCGCTGCGATACACATGAATGTTCGCTTGAGACTGAAGGTTAGCGGGAAGGCAGCGATAAGTGAAGACCACAAATAAGGAGGACGAGTTGAGGAAAATAGCGGCGAAGAAGGAAAAGAAGAAATAGACGAAGAAGGAGAAAATGATGATGACGATGATAAAAAAGGAAAGAAATACAGAAAGAAGAAAGAAAGAAAGAAAGAAAGAAGGAAAGAAGAATAATAAGAGGAAGAGGAGAAGGGGGAAGAAGAAGAAAAAGAAGAAGAAGAAGAAGAAGAAGAAGAAGAAGAAGAAGAAGAAGAAGAAGAAGAAGAAGAAGAAGAAGAAGAAGAAGAAGAAGAAGAAGAAGAAGAAGAAGAAGAAGAAGAAGAAGAAGAAGAAGAAGAGGGGGAGGAGAAGGGACGAAAACAGCAGTAACAGCAAAGAAACAGCAATAGCAAATGAAGCCATTAGCATACGAAACAGAAGGTCATGAACGTGATGATTCTATATATATATATATATATATATATATATATATATATATATATATATATATATATATATATATATATATATATATAGTTCAATGTATATGCTCCTCAAAAAGTCGATATCCTTGTATTGAGCCACGTTCCAGAAAGTTGTTGTTGGTCCCTTTTCGTCTGTCTAGACCAGTGTTCTTCAACCTGTTCACATTCGCGGCCCACCAAAACAGAGAAGTATGTTTCGCGGCTCACAAAATCAGTAGAACCTATTTCGCAATCCACACGACAGCTAATCAAACACAGAAATAAGAACGAGAGTAGGCAGTAGATATTGTTGAATTCCTTGTCACAAACTTACAATCTTTCAGCTAATTCTGCACCTTTTGTTGCTCAGAGGTTAGAAGATTTTTGCCGCTGAGCGGGGCTTCCGGTTTCTTTCTACAGATCACAGTCCTGGAGGAGAAAACCTACCTTCCCTACCCCGTTACATGATTGGGCAAGATAATTTCCCTGTCCACCTGGACTTTTTCGCGGTCCACTTGGACTTTTTCGCGGTCCACCTGGACTTTTTCGCGGCCTACTTAGACTTTTTTCGTGATCTGTCGGTTGAAGAACGCTGGTATACAGGATACTGTGCCACAGGAAGGCATAAAGGCATCTTCCACATTCAGATCCTTTGTGGCCCTATGCACTTAAAAGATTTTGGCATCTCTCCCCGACCCGTAAAAACCGTAAATTAAGATTCTATTTATTGAAATTAAACACAACTTAAAGTAAGATGGAACTATTTTTGTATACTTCCACTTTTTTAATATTTGAAAAGTTGTAGCCTGCTTTTTTTTTATTTTTTATTTTTTTAATTAATAATTTAGGAAACATCTGCTTCTATAACTAACAAAGCGAAGCTAGTAAGTGAAGTTCAAACCCACCAGGACCGCACACCGAAGGATAAATACCTGGTGACACAAGGTGCCACCATTCGAATGTGAATCACCCGAGCATAGGTACCAGAAACCCTGTTCAACCATTTGGTTATATTAGTGCAACCGACGACAGCTGGGCCTGGGGCTTTAAAATAAAAAAGATTTTTTAAATTCGTTCCTTCGTGGGATGCAAAACATAGTTGGTATGATCAAATGAGATAAGGTAGCCAGCTTGCTTTGTTAAACTGTTGTTCTGCTGGGATTATTTTTATATATACTTCAACTGAAAAAAATAAAAAGCTCCAAGCTCAGGGTTTAGGGTTCTCCGGCTCTGGAGGCTTGAAAATCATAGCGCATTAGCCCAGCGAGTGTGACTAGCAAGACCTGCTGGCTTTAACAAGTATCCTAGGATTAGGATACAATTAGAGCCTAGGATTATTGCCATAGCATGAATTTAATGTGCTTCTCGGCGAACTCTCAGCTCTTAACCTATGTTTAGTCATATTTATGTTTATCTCATGCCTTTCTGATTTCTCCCTCCATTCAACACGGTCGATGTCTTCCTGTTCCTCCGAACCCATCTCACTATCTGTATCCTTCATGTCCCGCTTGCATGTATCGTTACATCGCAGTAGAGGCTGACTTCTATATCTTCTACATATCTGTCACTAACCATAAACGATGTCCTTGGAAACTCGACCATCCTTCTTTCTCCAAATATGCCCTAGCCACCAGAGCCTTCGAAGACTGAGCACTGAGAGAACTGTTGTGATACCTGCTCTTTCCAGTATATAAGTAAATTTGATCTACTTTTTACTGAACATCGAGATATACGAAAAACACTGGCAAAATATATGTAAGTGTGAGGCTAACGCATCATTTACTAATTTGGAAAAAACAAACGTTAATTGCCTTTGACTTCACTTAGGATAAAATATCCTTTTCACAAATGAATTTGAGCAGCATACTACAGTTGATGTCGTTTACAAACTGTTTAGTCGTATAGCCAATCTCCACACAGTCTTCATTATTCCACAGATTGTCAGGCTGACCTATAATGGTAGAAACAGAAATTAATGTCAGTTATATATGAAGACAGAAACACAATGTGAAGCTAATGTATAGAGACAGAAACACAATGTGAAGCTGATGTGTGGAGACAGAAACACAATGTGAAGCTGATGTGTGGAGACAGAAACACAATGTGAAGTTGATGTGTGGAGACAGAAACACAATGTGAAGCTGATGTATAGAGACAGAAACACAATGTGAAGCTGATGTGTGGAGACAGAAACACAATGTGAAGCTGATGTGTGGAGACAGAAACACAATGTGAAGCTGATGTGTGGAGACAGAAACACAATGTGAAGCTGATGTGTGGAGACAGAAGCACGATGTGAAGCTGATGTGTGGAGACAGAAACACAATGTGAAGCTAATGTATAGAGACAGAAACACAATGTGAAGCTGATGTGTGGAGACAGAAACACAATGTGAAGCTGATGTGTGGAGACAGAAACACAATGTGAAGCTGATGTATAGAGACAGAAACACAATGTGAAGCTGATGTGTGAAGACAGAAACACAATGTGAAGCTGATGTGTGGAGACAGAAACACAATGTGAAGCTGATGTGTGGATACAGAAACACAATGTGAAGCTGATGTGTGGAGACAGAAACACAATGTGAAGCTGATGTGTGGAGACAGAAGCACGATGTGAAGCTGATGTGTGGAGACAGAAACACAATGTGAAGCTGATGTGTGAAGACAGAAACACAATGTGAAGCTGATGTGTGGAGACAGAAACACAATGTGAAGCTGATGTGTGGAGACAGAAACACAATGTGAAGCTGATGTGTGGAGATAGAAACGCAATGTGAAGCTGATGTGTGGAGACAGGTGCACTATGTGAGATGATTATGTAATGACGATGTGTCGAGACAGAAACACAATATCAGATGATTATGTAATGAGGATGTGTGAGGACAGAAATACAATATAGGATAATTATAAAATGCTGATAAATGAAGATAGAATTACCCTGTAAGATGATTATGAAGTACTGATGTGGGAAATAGAAACATAATGGGTGATTTTATGTAATGCTGGTGTGTGGAGACATAAATTAATGCCAGGATGTTGTGTTGAGACTGAATGAAACACACTGTGAGAAATTAATATCAGGTTGATGTTGAGAGACAGAAACACAGTGTGAAAAATTAATATTAGGTTGATGTTGGGAGACAGAAACACATTGTGAAAAATTAATATTAGGTTGATGTTGGGAGACAGAAACACATTGTGAAAAATTAATATTAGCTTGATGTTGGGAGACAGAAACACATTGTGAAAAATTAATATTAGGTTGTTGTTGGGAGACAGAAACACAGTGTGAAAAATTAATATCAGGTTGATGTTGAGAGACAGAAACACAGTGTGAAAAATTAATATCAGGTTGATGTTGAGAGACAGAAACACAGTGTGAAAAATTAATATCAGGTTGATGTTGGGAGACAGAAACACATTGTGAAAAATTAATATTAGCTTGATGTTGGGAGACAGAAACACATTGTGAAAAATTAATATTAGGTTGTTGTTGGGAGACAGAAACACATTGTGAGAAATTAATATCAGGTTGATGTTGGGAGACAGAAACACATTGTGAAAAATTAATATCAGGTTGATGTTGGGAGACAGAAAGACATTCTGAAAAATTAATATCAGGTTGATGTTGGGAGACAGAAACACAGTGTGAAAAATTAATATCAGGTTGATGTTGGGAGACAGAAACACATTGTGAAAAATTAATATCAGGTTGATGTTGGGAGACAGAAACACATTGTGAGAAATTAATATCAGGTTGATGTTGGGAGACAGAAACACATTGTGAAAAATTAATATCAGGTTGATGTTGGAAGACAGAAACACATTGTGAGAAATTAATATCAGGTTGATGTTGGGAGACAGAAACACATTGTGATAAATTAATATCAGGTTGATGTTGGAAGACAGAAACAGATTGTGAAAAATTAATATCAGGTTGATGTTGGGAGACAGAAACACATTGTGAGACATTAATATCAACTTGATGTTGGGAGACAGAAACACATTGTGAAAAATTAATATCAGGTTGATGTTGGGAGACAGAAACACATTGTGAGAAATTAATATCAGGTTGATGTTGGGAGACAGAAACACATTGTGAGACATTAATATCAACTTGATGTTGGGAGACAGAAACACATTGTGAGAAATTAATATCAGGTTGATGTTGGGAGACAGAAACACATTGTGAGAAATTAATATCAGGTTGATGTTAGCAGCTACCATTTTCCTAATGTGCAGCTTTAAACACAAACCATTATTGATATAAAGTACACAACTAGTGCGTTATTTTAATCAACAACAATTTGTTAGTTGTGTTTCCTTTACATGTAGTTGCAGACCCTTCCCAGTCATTTTTTCGCTGTTGTGATTTTTTCTAGGCAAATACTACGTTCAGTAGTTTGCCACTGCCACTAAACGGCCAGCTCTCAGTAGCACTGTCGAAACTAACGCAAGGCGTTCTGCTGCCAAATAGTTTGCGACTGGAATCGAGTCCGGCACCTTAGTATTACGAAGCGCATTCGTAACGCCTAAGCCATATACTCCAACTAACAACAAGCACCAGCTCATATTACAATGTCTTGGTTTGTTAACTAAGATTACTAATGCGTTCTTTTTCCTTGTTTGATTTCTTTTTTGTCTGTTTCTTCCTACGTTTCTCTTTCATCTTCTTCTTCTTCTTCTTCTATTTCTTCTTCCTTCTCCTGCTGCTCTCCCTCTTCTTACTTCTCAAACTCTGCTTATCTTTTGATGTCAACAATTTAATAGTTCAAAGCTTTCATAGCAAACAGTTATACACACCCACATTCCATGGGATGGGAAATGAAACCTTCTCTGCAGGTTCACCATCTTCCCACACGTACCGTCCTTCTCGGAGCAAGTCGGAGAGACCAATCCAGGTTGACATCCTAGTGACAGATTCAACCAGCTGCCGCATCAGGTTTAGCTTATCTCTCGATTTGATCTGGAATAGTCTGGAGTCCTTCGCTAATTGGAATAAACAGTGAAATATTTCAGTGAAGTAAAATATAATTTAAATGTATTCGTGCTGTTGTGTTGAAACTATATTATTACAGACAAGTCAACATTCAGCGTGTGATGTTGTTAATATTACGAAATCACACGACTGCCTGTCCTCTCCACGACATTTCCTGTTACCTATTTTAGGCAAGTCTAAATTGGAAGTCCAGACCAATTTTAAAATGTCACCTAGACTGGGATCTGAAGCTATGATCACTAAGTCAGTATGCAAGAGTGCTAGCTACTTCGCTATCGCCGTTCCACACACACACACACACACACACACACACACACACACACACACATACACACACACACATACACACACACATACACACAAATTTATTCATTTATTTATTTAGGCTATGTTTCTACTTTGTAAATTTGAACAAAGAAGATACAAACAAGAGACTGCACAATTTGTGGCTTGCTATGTATCTCACTGTATTTACTCAGTGCACATTACAGCAACTATTGAGTAAAATAAAGCCAAAAAATGTCTTCTTCCTCTCATTAGCGTTCTCCAACTGTACACTCCGCGTAAAATTCCGGTTGTTCGTCCACTTCTGGACTTTGTTCTTGTTCCATGACTAAGTTTTACCTGAACATACGTTTAACAGATAATTTTTTATTGTATTCAGACTGTTGGTTCCTCGTCTCCTATGCAGATGTACTGCAACTTTAAAGGAATCACCTTCTTCATATGTCACCTTTTACGACATGCTTGTTAAGTGGCAGTTTGTCTATTATGTTTTTCTCCCTAAAATTGGGGCCTGGAAACAGACACGGGGAAAGCAAATAAATTAATCCGTTTAACGGTACAGACAGTTACTTCTGAGTGTGACTGATTTAGCTTTTCATTTGACAGGCTTCACTTAGAAGACAAATATACAGATAATAGAGTAAGAGGGTGTAAATGTCCACCCCAATGTGGGACTCTATTTTTTTTAAAGCCCCACAGGGGTGTCACTGAGGGCCCTAATTTAACTCAACTGTTGAGCAGGATTTCTGGGACTTGTACCCAGGTGATTTTCATCCGAATGGTGGCACTTTGCGTCACCGGGTGTTTATTGCTCCGTGTGCGGTCCTGGTGGGATTGAACGTCAATCAGTCAAAGGGTGCAAGGGATAGAGCATACAGAGAGGGGGTAAGCGCCCATAAATAGAACAATGGAACAATCAGCGAGGTAAATAGAACATAGAGGGAGAGAAAAGGCACAGAAGGGAAGAAAACACACTTATAGAGGGAGAGATGGGGGGGGGGGGGGTGGACAGAGACAGAAAGATATTTACAAATAAACAGCCAACATTCAGTCTAGGAGAGCTGTAAATAAACCAACCTTGGCAGACTGCTCTGGCAGAAGTGAAGTTTGTCACGTCGGTGGAAATGTACAAACACTGGATCACACTTTCGATCATATAAAGCTGAAAACCTCCTGTTGTATTGCAACGTCCAGTATGGTAAAATACGTCTTCTGAGGGTGTTACTGGGCTAGACTTAGGGTGGTAAGCTATCACTGACCCTGTGATACCCAGTGATTTATTTGATTACACTTCAAACATACCAGACTGCATGGGAATCATACATGTGTGCATAAAGCGGTTCTTTTTAGTAGATATGTTCCCCGTGTGGTTTCTGGGGCCCCATTGTAGGGAAAACAAGAACAGACCCACTGCCTACCCAAAAGCATGTCGTAAGAGTCGATTGATTGGGAGCTTCCTTCGAAGTAGGAGTGCATCTGCCTGAGAGGCAAGGAACCAGCAGTCTGCATACATATAAATCGGATCTGTAAAACGGATGCACACGTAACATTCAGGTTCTCGAACGGGACTACAGTCCAGAAGTGGACGAACAAGCAGAACTTTCCGCCAGAGTTTACAGTTGGTGAACGCGAAGAAGAAGAAATAGATATGTTTTTTCACACTTTATTTATTTTACTTGAGCCAATTTCTTTTTATTGGTTCGCTTTTTGTTGTTGTTTGGTTGTTAGTTTGTTAAGTCTTTCCTCTTGAGCCTAGAGCGACCCATATGGCAGAGGACATGTCTGGCGGTTCGTTACCACCTGTTTTAGATCTTGGATGTTCATTAGGCCATTGATTGAGCCTTGAGTGTGTTCTGGTGGCATGTTCTCATGTAGTTTTAAGGGTGCACATGCCGGCTCTTGTGATCGACTGCTTCGTCAAAAGGTAGCTGCAATTCTTTTGGGAGGTATATTAGTATTTGTCATGGTCACCAGATTCTAGGGGCTCAGGTTCCTTGAGGCAACCCCAACAACAAAATTGTAAAAACCTGAGTGCCCCCTTCGGTGTCTAAACAGTCAGCAGGGGGCTGAGTGAGACTTTATCTTCTTAATTATTTGTTTATAAATTTTATTACTTTTTTATTTCTAATATATTATTACATGTATCATTCAAGACATAATTATTATTACTGCGCACGTAAACACGGTTCCTTTAGCGCCGCCACCTTGAAAATCGTATGAAAGGAAGAAAGGGGCAAGCCTCCCCAGTGGTTTTTTTTTTTGTGAGGGTATGTATAGTATTGGCACATATGATAGCCACAGCCATTTTGCGCGTACCAGCTTTTAAGATTCTACCCGGCCTAATCTGTGTTTCACTAGTTTTAAAATTGGATAGTAAAGAGCATCCTGTGTGGTTTCCTCTTGCACAGGACGGAGTAGTTATGGGAGTTATAAGCCTGCAATAAAGTTGGTACCTCGACTAAGGCATTATTTCAAATGCGTCACATAAATAAAGTATACAAAGACCAACAGAATTTGTCCTATATTTTAACGAACACTCTACTATGGCAATTCTTTGCATACAGTCCATCTACAATTTTATATTGAGACTAATAAAAGCGTTAATCGGGAGCTGCTGTGGCCTAGCGACTAGATGCCTGCTTGCGGATTGGAAGGTCGTGGGTTCGGTTCCTTACAGAGACCGAATTTTTTGTCAAAAATGACTTTGCTCCCAGGTCGACCCAGCCTTAAGTGGGTACTAGGTACAATCCTGAGAAGTAAAGGCAACCGACCTGATGCTGACCACATCACCTACCAAGTGCCGCTTGGTCTATAAATATAATATAGATCAAATCCTATATATCCAGTACGCCTAAAAGGCGTGGAAAAGGGTCCTTTGACTTTTAAAAGCGTTAATCCTGTGATGCATTTAAACACAAACTTATATTATTAACTGTTTCAAAATTTAGATTTCACCAAAGAAGATGTCCTTAGAGACTCAACCACCCCCTATTCTCTAGGGTGCCCTAATTATTTGAGCCTTTCAAGACTAAACATCAAGATCTGCAAAGCCAGTACTAAAATTTTACGTTTCGTGGAAAAACATTTTACGGTACAGTCCGGTCATGAATTAGTAAAATACACATAAACATTTAAATTAATTTCGTAACGACATATTTGTCTGGAGTTTTGGCGTTGCGAACGGGCTTCGTAATACCAAGGTACCAGGTTCGATCCCAGCTGCAGGCGATTTGTCAGCATACCGTCTTGCGTTGGTTTGTAAAGTGGTACCGAAAGCTGACGTCCAGTGCAGGGGTAAACTACTGAACTTGAAATTTGCGCAGAAAAACTGCATCATCCAAAAACGTGCATGCGTTGGTTTTGCAACGTCCTGTAATGAATACGAATCTAACTTTTTTTTTTAAAGGCATATTTACATTTAGTTCAACGTTAGTCTCCCCAGAGAAAGTAGGTGACGTTCCATTGATAACCTTTTTTGAACTGGTTTGCTTTCTGCGGGGTTGCGGGTGTGCCGCTCTGTTGTTTGCTTTCTGTCTTGTTTTGCATTTACGTTTTTCTTCAGAGAAAAAGAATGCCTGTGACCTAGGTTGCAGCACTCTCTATGGGGATTGTGTGTTAGACCCAGTTCCTCATTGTTTTTTGTAGTGTTAAAAGCGCTGGCGTGCTTACATTTACAACACACGATATCAAAGGCAGTAGCAGTGTGCGAAGGTTTTGCGGCTCAGGAACTACCAATCAGAAGTGAGCTAGTGTGTATATGGGCGGTCTCTGGGGTGACTATAATGGAACTAACTCATATTTACATACGCAAACACTGTAGAAAAGATACGATAAGACAAGCTAAAACCAACATACGCGGAGTGCATGCCCCGGACTTGATGCTGAAAGTGATGCTGAAACAATCGCTGTATTCATTATTACACACTCGAGCACAGTCCAGCAGTGACGCCACCTGCTGGGGCATTCCAATTGCACGAGCAGTGTAGTAGGACGAGTTGGCTGGTCTGAAAGTTCTCAACTGCAGTTCAGCTATGACTTGTGTGATACATACGCAAATGTATTAATGGCATACATATAATGTGAAGCAAAACATAAATTAAAACTAGTCAAAAACTGTGTGCCGTCTCCACAATGACGGTTGGCTACCGTGTACTCGCAGCTATCTTTGTGAAATTTGAGGTCCTAGCCTCTTCAGCGGCTTTGTGCGACTCTCGTACCACTACCCGAAACCACCTACGCGTTTTTCCTTTTTTTTTTTTAACTCTATCTCTCCGTGCAGATTCTGTGTCCCTATTATGAATGGACCCAGTGCTTCCCCCCCCCCCTTAACTAGAATGCCTAAATGCCGACTAATTTGAGTCGTTCCCTTTAAATTAGGACTGCATCTGCCTGAGAGACGAGGAACCACAAATCTAATTACAGTCTAGAAGACCTATCTGTAAAACGGATGTGCACGCAAAACACAAGTTCTGAAACACGACTAAAGTCCAGACGTGGAAGAACAGACAAAACGTCCCTTCAGAGTTTACAAAAGTGCTAAATTACGCCAAGGGCACATCGGGCATATGATGTTAGACTCATATTTTATCCTCAGGCATACTGCGCTGGATCCATACGTGTATAAAACAATCAGTATTTGATGAGTAAAGTTATGAATATTACACTGGTCTCCTTTACCTCCCATGATATTTTCAGGTACCGACACTAGGCTGGATCCATATAGAAGCCAAATGCATATTTTTATTTAAAGATCCACTAAACGGTAACAAAAAGTTCAAAAACAGATAAACTCATTTTGTTGGGGTCCAGATTTATAAAAATCTGGTCTAAACTGGTGCATGAGACAGGCAAGAATGCAGCTTGAGCTATGGTGCGACGATGACGATCAACAAGAAACATGTATACAAAAAGTAACAAAGAACACAACATCCACAATGAAAAATGAGTTCGTAACCATACAGAAGAACGGCAAACACCATAAGAAAAGCAGACGACAGCAGAGAAATGGACGGCGGCAAGTAGTGGGCACACAACCAGCAAATAGAGTCCTCCTTATTACCACCCAATACACACCGAACCAGGATAAGAAACTGTGAATAGCATACATATAATCAACCCAAGACGAAACCCCATCAAAAGATGGAGACCTAAGCCAGTAAACAGGCACTAAGAAACCAATCATAGCCAATATACCTGGCGCAGGAAAAATAGTCTAAGACAGTGATTCCCAAGCTGACGCGGCGGCAGCCCGGGGAGCCGCGACCTCTTTACAGGGGCCCCGCGAAATATTCTAAAAGCTTCTTAATTAATTTAACCAAAACACGAAAAGTCAGACTTTTACGAAGGCTTTGGCGCGGTACAAACATGTCAATTAAAAAAAAAAAAAAAAAAAAAAAAAAAACGCGCCGCGACCAAGAGTTTAGGAAGCACTAATCGACAATTATAACTAAATGCTCCTTAGGACACACAAACAGATACCCCGGAGTACTAAAGTGAATCTTATCAGAACTATTTGTGGACACATCTTTCAATTAATGTAAAATTGTGACAACAGAGATGAAATGCCTTAGAAGAGCTGCAGGAGTTTCAAGGAAAGACATAATACGAAATCACGAAATCAGAGAATGCTAGAAATAAAGCCAGTCTTACAAGCACATAAGGACCAGAGCTCGTACAGATCAAGACATATCTACACCTTTTCGAGGTCATCTTAGATGCAGGTTCCTAACAAGGAGCCTGGCCAACGTAAATGAGATCGTCGTTTCCCTCGAAGTCGAAGTGCATCTGTCTGCACACACAAAAACATGTCTGTAAAACAGATATACACACAATACTAATGCCGTCGAAAAAAAATGACTATAAGTGGAGGAGCAGCCACTACTATCCGGAGTTTACAGTAAACGCGAAAAATATTTTGTTTTCATATTAATAAAGTTCTGGCAATAACTTATAAATAGTTGCAGATCCTTACAGCTGTCCCAGAGCCAGCCCTAATATTCTGTTCTGTTTGTGATTTCACTTTGCCAGCGGTTCTCAAACTGGGTGCCGCAGCAATAATAATTTTTAAAAAGTGGACTAAAAATTGTGAAATTATTAAAGAAGGCATGCAGCTATTTAAATGTCAAATAAAACTTAACTATACTGCTAGCAAGAAAGTTGCCCTTAAATTACATCAAACGAAGGGTTGAACGAACGATGATTAAAAGGCGAATTCGGTTGCATTCGTTCGTGCCATTAAAGACAAGTGAATCCTAAATTTGCACTGTTTTCTTTCCTCTTCCTACGTATTCAAACCGCTTTAAGGGTAGCTGTGCCGCAAATTGTTTTCAGCCCGACAAGGGTGCCGCGGCGAACAGTTTGAGAGCCGCTGCACTAGGCAATTACAATCAGTAGTCTGGCATTGCTACTAACTGTCGGCTATCGATACTTGTGTCCAAACCGACACAAAGCAACCCACGGGGTTGACCAGTCCTATACAAATATTTGTCTGACAATTTTTAGAATTATGCAAGGTCTGTCTAGAGAAGGATTAATCGCTCATATCTTGTGACCTAGAATGTGTGAAAGTTGTACACTGTTTGTCTGTCTCGCTGTCTATCTATCTATCTATCTATCTATCTATCTATCTATCTATCTATCTATCTATCTATCTATCTATCTATCTATCTATCTATCTATCTATCTATCTATCTATCTATCTATCTATCTATCTATCTATCTATCTATCTATCTATCTATCTATCTATCTATCTATCTATCTATCTATCTATCTAATCTATCTATCTATCTATCTATCTAATCTATCTATCTATCTATCTATCTAATCTATCTATCTATCTATCTATCTATCTATCTATCTATCTATCTATCTATCTATCTATCTATCTATCTATCTATCTATCTATCTATCTATCTATCTATCTATCTATCTATCTATCTATCTATCTATCTATCTATCTATCTATCTATCTATCTATCTATCTGTCTGTCTGTCTGTCTGTCTGTCTGTCTGTCTGTCTGTCTGTCTGTCTGTCTGTCTGTCTGTCTGTCTGTCTGTCTGTCTGTCTGTCTGTCTGTCTGTCTGTCTGTCTGTCTGTCTGTCTGTCTGTCTATCTGTCTGTCTGTCTCCTTTCGCATCGGTTTGCTTGACTTATGTCTGCCTACTTGTCTATCTATTGACTATCTTTGAGAATACTAGTACTGTTCTGGAAGATACGGGTCGTTTAACTACATGAACTTTTTTATGCTAATTGTAGAATCTACCCATCGAGATTTACTCACCAGCAACAGAAAGCACAGCCCCTACAAAGATGATGACTTGCATGTGGAATGCTCTCTTGGTGAAAACATGAATACTCATTCTGGTCATGTTCAGGCTGTGACAGGGTTTTTCTCCCAAGGAAAGGATGGTGCCGGTACGCATCACAAAGTGTCTGAAAAAAGATGCCGAACCCACGACAAAGAATCTATTACAACAGCGCTGAAAAAAAAAAATACAAGTGATGCACAGACAAATGTATCAGTACTTCGTACTGATGCGCATCGCCAGAAACAAACAACCTGGGCTTTGATTAAAGATCAAACATTTAGGATAACACATTGATGATCACGCATTAAAGATCACACATTAGGAATAATAAATTAGGGATCACACATTAAGGAACGCACAGTAAGAATAACATATTAAGGATCACACAATAAGGATCCTACATTAGGGATCACACATTAGGAATCACAATTAAGGATCACATATTAAGGATCACAGAATAATGATCACATAATAAGGATTGCAAATTTAGGATCACATTTTGAGGAGCAGACAAATAGGATCATCCATTTAGGATCACACGATAAGGATCACATATTAAGGATCACACGAAAGGAATCATACATTAAGAGCCGAACGTAAAGAATCATACATTAATGATCACATATTAAGAATCACGCAGTAAGGATTGCATTTTAAGGGTAAATCACTAAGGAACGCACACTAAGGATTATACAATAAGGATCACACATTAAGAATCATACACTGAGAATCACATATTAAGGATCACACAGCAGGGATTGCACAATAACCATCACACATTGAGTACTGCACACAGATATATCCGTAAATGCCTCAGTCTCTCCTCCGGTTTGCCAGCACACTAAAAGAATCTCAGCACCGTGAAGAAACCCCACAGCAGCAGCGATGTGGATTGAGGTTTGAGGTTTGAGGTTTAAACAACGGATAGACATCATAGCACACGCGTAGTAACCCATAAGTGCTCCGTTCTTCTTCTAACTCAAGTCTTAGTCCAAAGAAAGCACAGTTCACAGGCTCTGTAGCATCGGCGAGGATCCTGAAATACTTGCGGGTAGATTTTCAACTCCAAATTGTTGCCCTGGCAGAGCCGTTATGCTACTCTTTTCGATTTCCAAATGTCAAGGTAATTATTACGTGCGCAATAATACACACGGGCGTCCGATCTCACTACCCAGAGAAAGGGGGGAATAACTAGAAGTCCAAGTCCACATGAAAAAATTCCAGCCCTTACCGGGGATTGAACCCGGAACCTCTAGCACTCGAGGTGGACACCATGTCTCAAGACCACGCAGCAGCAATGATATAACATAGAGTAAACAAGAATCAACAGCTATGAATATTCTTTTTGGGACCACTTTTCTTGTTTGTTTGTTTTCAAACGCTGGGCTGGATCAGCAGTTCGGAGTTAATAACAGTGCTGAATATACTTGACTATTAGCGAAATCAGTACACAGTGGATACCGTATCATTTTGGGTTGCCCGGAAACGAGAGAGCTGATGAACCAGCCGGGAAAGGTGTGAAAACAGAGCAGTCAGATGTATCAGTCAAATACCACCAAAAGAGAAGGATTAATAAATCAGTCAGAAATCCATTAACCTTGGGATAAGACGACTGACTACCATTTTTGGACAGAGCAGAAGATGTAATTTTCCTGCGACTCTAAATAGGGCACAAAGGAATACTCAGCCACACGTATAAGGAATTTTAAGATTGGTACATCAGCCATGTGCACATATGGAATGTTACAACCAGACAGCGGAATACATACTCAAGGTATGACACGTTAAGGCAAACTTTTGGGTAAAAACAAAGAACATCAGGTGAAACTAAACTCTGCGGACCATTTAGTAAATTCGGTGAACATCGAAATTTATACGAGATACAACTGCAGACGTAGACAGTTTATTTCTAGCCAGTTAAAAGAAGAAGAAGAAAAAGAAGAAGAAGAAGCGATTGTTTTGACAAGTTCTTTACATTGTACCAAAAAAAAAAAAAAAAAATCAGAAATGTGATATAAGAAGATACAGTGACATTACCAGAAGAAATAATTGAAATCAGTGCAGTATGCTTTTTAGCATCTTTTGAGAATACTAAAGCATTTGATTTAGTGAAACATGAAGAAATAATTAGACGGACAATTTTTCGTGAAAACAGGAACATATCTGTCACATCCTCGTCAGAAGCATATTTGTTTCCCTTGAGATGTTGTTTGAGCTTTGCGAAGAGAAAAAAAAGAGACTACATACTGGATGACCAAACTGTTCTCAAAGTACAGAGGCTCCAATTGCTGCTGATGTTTGTCCACTCAAGTGTGGACGAGCAGGGTCATGTTGACACACTGTGTTGTTGTTGTGGCTGTTCTTTTTGTTATCGACCTTTTCGGCCTGTTGTATTCACTCCAAACAAAAAGGGAACACCAAATATTGATTTTCAATATCCCTAGATCGATGGGGTTGTCCCCTCCGGGCCGTTACCTAAAGGTTTACTATACCATACCGAGATTAAAGAGTCTAAGTCTAGATAGGAGACCAACAATGCAGATCCTACATACCCCGTCTAACATCCAGAAACGTTGTGATTAGGGCACCTAATAACGGTTACATCAGTCTGATATTACTTTAATATTCAATAAAAGTAGCAACGTTGGTAGAAAGAATACCTGGAGTAGTCTTCTTGTATTCTTCACTTTTTCTTTTACTGCTTTATGGGTTGAAGGAGATTTAAGGTTCTGCATCCTGCTTTTCTGACCAATCGATCATAGACACATCGTGCTGTTGCAGTTTTGTTTTTATTTTTGTTTGTTTGTTATTATTTGATGTTATTTTTTATTGACCAGAAGTAAGATAGACCTTGGTCTATCATGTGCTCCACGTCCTTCTCCTAGAAGTCATTTATCAATGCCACGGTTGACTGCCGGTTGATCAGTCCGTTTTTATCTCATTGTATACTGTGTAGAATGTCAGTAAACAAATTAAGAGGAATTTAGAAGCAATAGAGATATGGTTTTTGAGGCGAATGTTACAAATACCTTGGACAGCCAGAGTAACTAACAACGATTGTTTGAAAGAAGCTATTGAAATTAGATCTATATATACAACAATAAGAAGGAGACAAACACTGTTCTTTGGCCCCGTAATGAGAAGAGAGGCATTAGAAATCATGGGGACAACTGGAAAGATCAGTGGGGAGAGGGGTAGAACAAGAGAGATGATGCTGGGTGGGCTGAAACGATGGCATGGAGGGATATCATCAAGAGAACTGTTCCACGCAACTAGGAATCCTGATCTCTTCTGTAGTCCAGGCCGTGGGGCGTTGGTAGTCATACCCTTCCACAACCTTCTGTTTCGTGCACTTTCAGTGAAATCTGAAACAGATGATCCTCCACGCCATGATGCCAAACTGTCCAGAATCTTTTCTATCGGTTTTCCTCTTCCTCTCCTCCCCTCCATTTTCCCTACTCCAGTTTTCTCATTCTCATCACGTGACCACAGAATGTAGATTGTCTCTTTCTGATGTGGGCAATTAGTTCTCTTCCTGGGGCGGTTTCTTTCAAGACATCTTTATCACTCTATTTATCTGTCCTGGGCATACGCATCATTAAAACCACATCTCCGCAACTTCCATACATGTTTACACTAACTCACTTACACAGTTTGTTCTCTCCGGACTTCAGACAGAGGCGGAGGATAAGGAATATTCATTAAATGCTCAAATGGTTAAAAAACTGAACATTAAATACCAACAAATTCATATGCCTCTAACTTCAGAGCAGATGCAGATGCACTTCTGGTGGTTATGTTCTTTACCTAATAGACAATCGTCCTGTCAAACGGTAAATATAGCAAGAATGGTCTTTCTTATTTATTATAAGTCTGTTCTACAAACAATTGTCAACCTAAAGGACACACAACCGCTAAATTACTTAGGTTCTTCAGTAGAACCAGCTTCTGCACTGCACTGGATTCCGTGTCACTGTGGCTTAAAATGTTATAAAAATGCAGACGGACTAGCCAAAAGTGGCAGTGAAAAACGTCCTGTACTGTCAGGACCCGAACCCATGTCCTTACGATCGGCAGGCGAGTGTCTAGCCGCTACGCCTCGGCCACTCCCAGTAAAACTTGAACTATACATATAATAGAATCAGTTCTAAAATTGCTTGATACTTCCTTGAAAATATCTTGGGCTTTCAGGTTGAAAACCTGGTACTGAGTGGTCTCGAGGTATGACATCTGCCTCTAGTGCTGTGGTTCCAGGGTTCAAACACCGGTGAAAGCTGGGAATTTTTCGCGTGGACTTTTAGTAATTTACCCTGGTCTATGTGTAGTAAGACCGGATGCCCGTATTTATTTTCGCGCACGTAAAAAATCCCTTGGCATGTTAAAATGGAACAAGAGGAGCTTAATGGCGCTGCCCGGACAAAATGTGGAGTTAAAAAACCTACCCAAAGTATTTCAAGATCCCAGCCGGTGCAACGGAGTTCGCGCACTGAGCTGAGATTCTTCGGACTCAGACTCGAGTTAGAAGTAAAATGGAGCACTTATGCATAACACCTGTGTGCCATGATGTTGATCCGTTAAATAAACAAACAGGTTGAAGCCCGACTATGCTATAGGAAAGAAAAGAGATTACAAGCTATGTCAGTAGCAAGACCTTCTAGCGTTAAGAAATGTCAAGAGAAAAATACACTCCAACCATTTTAAAACGGATGAGCCTCGATAGTGTAGCGTCTAGGCGCTGACCTGCAAAGCCCGAAAGCCTTAGATTAAAATCTGCAACGAATCGGATTACGTTGGTCAAAGTGACCTTGGTGCCCACGTCGATCCTGTCTTGAATGGATGCCAGGTAATGCTCTAGGAAGTAAAGGCGATCGGTGTGGTGTTAAGGATACACTGAGTACCGATTCGTCTTTAAAAGTGTGATTCTAGGGGTGTAAAATGTCCATTAGTTTTAACAGTTTGATAACTTAACAGAACCTTGTATGTATTTTTTAACAGTTATAAACATAATCTTCTACGTTGATTCTACAGGTATGCTCCGTGCAGAGTGGCAAGCATCACTTCAGAGGTCCCGGGTAGTTAGTATCCTTTGAAATTTTTCTCCAGGACATGCCAGTGTGTTGGGTTATGAGCAGGCAGAAGACTGGCCTGATCTGCACCATTTGGTGGTGAACTGAAATATGACAATCTAAACGTTATGAGGGCCCTTTGGGAGCGAGTAAACAGTGCGGAAGCGCAAATAGATCATTACGGTCTGAGAATAATGGCGCTGCTAAGAGTTACCAGAGAATCTGACTGACACTCAACACTCAAGGGACGGGCGAGACGGATATACAGACAGTTACTGGTGCCACCGGAGTTGGAACTCTTCGTTTG